TGCAGTCTTGATCAGAGTACGAGTGGATAAATGTTACTACTGCTAATATTTATTTATTATTATTATTTCCTATGAATGGGGGAACACATGTGGTTCCAGTACATTTATGCAGATGAATGTAAATAAAAGACTAGGGATCAATGCGTTAAGGTGCCGTCATACTAGCACTTTTTCCGTCATTCTTTTGACAATTTTCTGAAATTCTGTCCATTCTTGAGCAAATTGTCGATTCTCCAGTCAGACGATAATGATCGTTTCCGTCTGAGAACCTTTCCGTCAACTTTTACAGCTAAGCATAGTCAAATCAAGAGCTATATCCGAGAATGTTTGTATTTATGTTGAATAAAATTGTCAAAAAATTGACGGAAAAAGTGCTAGTGTGACACGGCCTTTATGATACAAACCATTTTTTTTTCTTATTTTTTCGGACGATAACCTGTGCGAAGGGTCAGAGAATCACGATAAGCTTGGGTTCGCAGGGTCGTTGCATTCAGCATCGTACCATTAACTGTCTATGGAATTGTACCCCACATCATGTGAAAAAATATGTATTTGTATTTTTTTCTACTATTAGCTATGTGGCATATGAGAAAAATATATATTCCTGTACATAATTATCAACGCATTGAAAAGTTTACCGTTTTCAGATAAGTGGAAGAACTTTTACTTATCATTTTAGATTACAACACACGAAAATGTCTCCTAATTCTCTCCTTTAAATAAAAGTTTATCAATCAAAGAATTGTCAATTGGAGTCGGCCTTTACCCTTAGATACGGGTGAAATTGTCAATAATTTCTACCTTTTCCAAACCGTTTCAGATATATAAAGAAAAGAAAATACCCAGAAAGTATAATCAAATATTTAAAAATGCTAAAGAACAACTAAAACTAGTGAATGAAAGAAAAAATATATTCAGACAGATGACTTTAAACAAACCGGGAATTCTTCCCAGTTGTAGATGTAAACAAAGATGGGAGGTGACACGCAAGCAGGAGCCGAAAATGCCAGCGAAGAACGACCACAAAATAATCCCTTGTCAAGGAAGATTAATAAGATTTTGGAAACCAGATTAGAAAATGACAAGGTAGATATGTATATGTTATACATTTTTTTTTTTCGAAGTCATTATGTGTTGTATAGAACTCGAAAATCTGAAGTATCATCCTGTTTGTTTTTTGTTTTTTTAATTGTAGGTGTCATATTATGATTTTAATGTTAGACGATAAACAAATGCTGAGTAAACAGTGTGGTTCATTGATTTGTTCACACAATACACATTTGGTACTGTGATAATAGGCAGATTTTCAGAAGCCTCTTGAAAGATGGTAAAGACAAGGCATCTCATGTATAAGAGGGAAGATTATTCCACACAGTCACACTGTGATAACGAATGCATAATTCAGAATGTTTCAGTCTGAACCCAGTAATGCCAGGCAAAATATTTGGCAAGCGAACATGATCATTGGTTTATTTGCACAAATTGTTGACCTGTTTCCTGCCCAGCTTGTTCAGTAGTTGGAACATAAAAGCACTATTGGAGAAAAACAATCTCTGTCTGATGAGCCGACTGCAAGGGAATGGTCGTATTTGATGACAACTGCTACTTTGTCCACAACAACCATGCCTTGTTTATACACGTGGTTGATAAAGAACTGTCATTGAATTTATGAATCAAAGACCATATCAGAATTTAAGTGAAACATATTATTGTATATGTTGAGGAATATATAAACAAACAAAGCACAGAAGTAAATGTTAACCCGTAGCCGATGGATGGCATGTACGTATATACCATAGCTGTTGTGGACTGAAACACAGTTGGCATCGTATCATGCCCATTCCCACGCCACTGGCTCATTGACCAGAGTTTGTTTTTCTCCGATAGGAGCAGCTTCATTTATATGGTGAAGATTTTAGGCAATGGCACCTATAATGAAGGTAAATCTTCAAAATGTTAATATTTTTATAAATTATAGCCAAATAAAAGCTTTTAGGTGCTAAATGTCGCTTGCAAACTACCATTTGAGCCAGGCGCAAATGGGGGAAACTGCCGATGCGCGCCAACAATCCTGTTCTTACATCCACTTGCCAAGTATTTTTCCCCGTCGGCACTGGGTTAATTTGATTGAATTTTAATGATCTTAAGAATGCAAAAGTTATTGTATGTGATCTTACCTACGTAATCCCATGATTATACGAACTGCTTTTCTCTGAGTAGTGATAATAAGTTTATCTTTGGTTTGGCAAAGAGAGTAATAAATTTTATTACGGGTATTGATCATGTGAGAGGCCCTAGTAAGATAAGTATTTTAGATTGTTTGTTGATTTTGTTTGTGATGTGTATTTCATGTTCTTTTGAGTTGAGTTGCTCATCAAAAATAAATAGTAATAATGATAATGGACCAAATTTTTAGCTCTGTGGGACTCCATGCTGTGTTTAGAATTGTTTATAATGTCTTCTTTGAAGAAAATAGGATCTAAACCAGAGATTAGGAGTA